AATACCCTGAGCGTGACTGAGGGTGACATTGCAACCTCCAGATCTGCCCTGCTCTGTGCATGATAGAGGGCGGCGCCCCAACTCCCCAGTCGGCCTTGCTCTGAGCCCGACCAGGGGCTGCACCTAGGGATTGGGCCTGCCCTCTGCCACCCAGGAGCAGGCCTAAGCCAGCAGGTCATTATCTCCTGAGGGGTCCCAGGCTGCGAGAGGGCACAAGCCGGGCTGAGGGACTCCGCTTCCCACCCGAGTGCACAAATTTTTGTGCACTGGGCTTCTGGTATGGTTATATTTCATATTGTCCCATTGCTCCCTTAAGCTGTCCTCCTGTTTTTTAATTGTTTTTTGTTTTTGGTTCTCTGATTGACTGATATTTTCAACTCTGTCTTCTAATTAACTGAGCCAGCAGGGGATGGAGGGGTGCTGCTGGGGCTATGTCACCACTAGGGTCTTCAGCCTTGATCTGGGGGGGAGAGGGGCAGGGTCTAGGACCCCAAAATGTTAAGTAGAGGCCAGAGAGAATGCCCACCTGCGAGCCAAAGAGAGGGCACGAGTGTGGCAACAGCAGCCTCCAGCCGTCACAGGAGGAATGGACGGGAATAAGGAGGCCAGACCCTGCACTGACAGGATGGGTGCTCAGGCCACCACCCCTCTGGCCTGTTTCCTCATCAGTCAGATGGGCTGCCACACCCCCTGCACCCACACTCCCCACAGAGGAGGCCACCTTTGAAGAACACTTGTCCTCTCTTGGGAGCCAGTTTCCCTGTTTGTAAAATGAGAAATGATGCCATGGGGCCCTGGGATCTTAAACAAGGGGGTCTGGGTCCCACAGCCCTCATCTGTTCAGATACAGGTACCTCTCTTATTTGCCCAGTGGAGTAAGATTTTATTGGAACAAAGGGCCTAAGGGTAGTAAAAAAAAAAACAACCCCCCATGGCTTTAGAACATGGGTCACAAATTCAAATGTAGACAGCACAAACGGGTGAGGTGTGCAGAGGATGATGGGCGGGCTGGAGGGACGGCCCGCCCGTCCACCCACAAAGCAGGTCTGCCCAACTCCTACTCTGCTCCTGCCAGCGGCAGATTTTAAAATCTAAAGCACAGCCCTAGCCAGTTTGGCTCAGTGGATAGAGTGTCAGACTATGGACTGAAGGGTCCCAGGTTTGATTCTGGTAAAGGGCACATGCCCAGGTTGCAGGCTTGAGACCTAGTAGGGGGCATGCAGGAGGCAGACAATCAATGATTGTCTCTCATCATTGATGTTTCTATCTCTCTCTCCCTCTCCCTTCCTCTCTAAAATTAATTAAAATATATATTTTTTTAAATAATAAAACTCTAAAGCAAGAACGCTGCTGGACAAAGAAAATACACCTGCAGCCCGAGGTGGCCCAGGCACTGCCAGCTGGCAGCCTGCACTCCTAGGGCCCCTCACCTCCTCCTCATTTCTTTGTAGGATGTGGAGGCATCTTGCACCAAAATCATAAGGCAGCCCTGGCCTGTTTCTCAGTGGTTAGAGCATCAGCCTGCTCACCTAAGGGTCTCGGGTTTGATTCCTAGTCAAGGGCAGGTAGCTGGGTTGCAGGTTCGATCCCTGGCCCTAGTTGGGGTGCCTGAGGGAGGCAATCAATTGATGTGTCTCTCTCACATTGATGTTTCTCTCCCCCCTCCCCCTCCACTCTCTCTAAAAATCAACGGAAAATGTGTCCACAGCTGAGAGTTAACAACAACAAAAAACACCTAGGGCAGAGTAGCATAAAGCAGCCCTGGCCTCCTTCCGCTCCTACACAAACACCCAGACGACGGTGGGCTCGCCTGGGGTGGGAGGTAGGGGAGGGTCTGTTGGTAAAGGACACATGGGGGTGGGAGGAGGCACGGCTTGATGAATCACACACTGCTGCCCAGTGTCCCAGGAGAAAAAGGTCCCTAGGAAAGGGACACAGCAGCTTGGCAGAAGCATGGCATCTGGAATGCAGACTGTGACTGACAGACAAAGACCCTCCTCCGGGTGGGCGGGCAGCCAAATAATAGAGGGTGAGTGGCGTGCCCCCAAGTACAAATGTCAGGAAGTTTTAGCGGTACAGGGTGCAGCATGAAACAACAGTGAGTATGAAAAGCCGGGCCGTGGCTGAATCCTTGGCGGGAAGGAGGGCGCTCCTGGAAGTCTGGTCGTGTTTGTGTCTTGCTTTGGTGAAAAGCCAGTTGTACGTACACTGAGGATCATGTGTGTGTCATATTTCAATTAAAAAGTTTTATTTTTTTGTTTTCATACAAGTCCTTTGGTTGATCTCTTACCCCCCTACCTCCCGCCCCCGAACCCTCCCCGGCCTTCCCGCTGCAGTTTGACACTCTGTTTGAGGCAGCTCTGCCTCTGTATCTATTATTGTTCAAAAGTTTATAATGGTCTCAATTATCCATGAATAAGTGAGATCATGTGGTATTTTTCTTTCATTGACTGGCTTATTTCACTCAGCATAATGCTCTCCAGTTCCATCCATGCTGTTGCAAATGGTAAGAATTCCTTCTTTTTTACAGCAGCATAGTATTCCATTGTGTAGATGTTCCACAGTTTTTTAATCTACTCATCTGCTGATGGGCACTTGGGCTGTTTCCAAATCTTAGCTATGGTTAATTGTGCTGCTATGAACATAGGGGTGCATATATCCTTTCTGATTGGTAGATGAGTGGATTAAAAAACTCTGGCACATCTACACAATGCAATACTATGCTGAG